CCCACCCCCACCCCCCCGCCAGGCCACTGCTAAGTGGAGCAAGCCCCAGTCTCTGACCTCTCCCTTGGGGAATCTTATCCAGCCCTGCGGGCCACACCCAGGTTAGAAGGAGATGCCTGTAATATCGCCATAGAAGGAAACGACAAATATGAGCATATACTTTGCGCCTCAAGTAATACTTAACTCTTGGTATAATACAAACTAAATGTTTACATCTAGCCTTAGAAATTTTTGCTTTTAATTCACTCCCTCCCCCTTAACTGTGAGTCAACAGGGAGAAAATGAAAGGGGGAGGGGACTTTCGGCAAAAATGTAAAAGTATCACAAACAAGCCAGCTGAATGTGAAATGTAACCTTCGCTCCACCCCCCTGGTCCAGCCGCTCCGTAGTTCAGTGCCTCTGGAAAACAGTTCCCAGGGAGCACGTTCCCTCCCACAGCCTGCCTAGAAAGAGGTCATCAGAATTCAAGACCAAACAGGCACTGGAGCCATCAACACCACCATCATCCTTCGCCCTCAAAGAAAATACATCAGTAAGTCAGTTATCAGCGGCACAAAGCAATCCCACTCTCACCAAAAATACATCAGGAAATCAGTCATAAGCCGCACCAAGCAATGCTAGTACCTAGGTTCTATGATCCAGAGCAGATTGACACCCTGTGCTCAGGTTTTCTCCCTCAACTGCTAATCTTAACAGAAACAGATGTAGAATAGAGTCGAAGTACAAGTCAGAGAAAGTTTAAAGCACCAGAAAAGGACAATGCTATTTCCAGCCCGAGGGCTGAATGATTTCCACTAGGAAGCCCAAGCGCCTAGCTCAGTGTTTGGCACGTAGAATGCTCCAATAGCATAGGAATTGATCTCAGAGCCAGAGATTATCTAGCCTATCCATCTAGATTTAGAGGAAATGGATTTAAGATCCTTTGGGAAAAGAGTTTTTTTTTTAACCGAAGCGGCAAAGCTGTTCAGTAGCTCAAACCCAAACCCAAAAATCCGTTGCTGTCGAGTCAAGTCGATTCCGACTCATCGCGACCCAAGTGCTCTTAATTCTTGGGTTTCTAAGCTAGGCAGGTAGGCACAAAATATAGAGTGCCTACTCTGTGCTGACATTCTTCTAGGCACCAGGGGTACGGAGGCCAACGGCGTAGACCTAGTTTTCAAGAAGTTTATATTCTAGAAGAGCAGACAGCCATGAACAATAAGGTAATTTCATATAGCGTTAATTATTATGCAGAAACTAAAACACATTCATTAAGAGCGAGGGGTGCTCTTTTAACTAAGGTGGCAACTCTTCAAAGATGTTCTCTTGATGCGGTCTGAGCTGCAGCAGCCACGCTCGGGATAAACGCACAACGTTCCCTTTCCTCTTCTCTTGTCCCCAGCGCTCAGCAAGTCTTAGGCAAAATCAAAGCCTCCTTTGCACCTCTTTTTAAGGGGTCCTCCCCATCCTCTCATGCCACCCACCCACTAGAGGTGCCTAGGTAGACTTCATTATTTTGCAAACTGCAGCGCTCTCCTGGAAACCAAAGGAGAGGGAATAAGAGCACGCGAGCTTAAACCACTAGGCGGGGGCGTTGGCCAGGATGGAGCAAAAGTGTGTGTGGTAGGCGGTGCCGGGCGGTGGGGTGGGAGAGGGGTGCCTAGGGTTTTAAGGGAGCTAGGCAAGGTTAGATGGAACTGTTAAAGGGATGGGAGGCGAGGGAAAACGGAGAGGAATGTTACCAACTGCAGGCAGCCTTTACTCTTTTTTCGCCCCCCTACCCGGGAGCAAACGAAGGAGAAAACCACTTCCACTCCCTTGGCTTTAGCAACGTGAGAACCTGTAGCTTTCTCCAACCGCACTTTCGCGCTTTCGCAGAGCCCCAGACCCAAAGTGAAACCTGCGGGCGAAGTTTGATCCCCCTCCCACTAGTAAAGAGTTGCCTGAACACGCCCAACCGCCCTGTAGACGGGATTATGGCTAAATTCAACAGACAACCACATTTCTTTAACATGGCATTTCGCTCACTCCTTTTTCACTTTAAAAGATATAAAATGCAGGTGTTTGCACATAGTTGTGCATGTCTGTGAAACCTCCAGACAGCAGGGGACCCTGAAAGCCGTCTCTGCACGAGTCGTCACTGCGGAGGAGGGACCCCTGGGCAGGATCCACTCGCCCGCCCCGCAGTCGCAGTCCGCAGCAGTGCCAAGAGGAAACTCACTACCAGTTTTTCGGGAATTCGGCAGGACAAATTTGTGCCTCTGCACTGGGAACAAGGACGAAAAAAGCCGGAGAAGAACCGAGATGGGGTAGCAGAGCGGCAACAAGTTAGTTGGGCGGAAATAAGCTCCTGTTTGTATTATGGATCAGTAACTCACCAAAGAAAAAGAAGTTTATTAAAATGAAGTTCTTTAAAGCACATCTTATCAACCAGAAATGAGCAGTTTTGCAAACTCATCTAGTAAGAACAATGCCAAAACCAGGAACGTAAACAAAAACTAAATCTAAATGCCAATGTACTAAAACTTGTGCACTTTATGCATGAAATAGCTCCCCCTAGCCTCATTCAGATTTTACTTCTTACTGTATACACAATTCCAACACGTCTGGCCATGAGGTGTCCAAGGCCCCTGAAGATTAGAAGCATCACATAGGAAATAGATAAGAAATTATGTCAGATAAGCATGTTGAATGCAGCAAGATGTCACAGCTGTTACCATAATGGCAAAATAGGCAGGGACATCCAGGGTGAACTTTAAAAAGCAAAAACTTAAAAGAGTGAAAATAATAACATTATTATTAGTGTTAACACGTTTGATAGTATGAAATATAGTATTAGTTAAAACTTTGATTGCAAGTGATGGAAACCAATGTAATCATACATTTTTCAAGGAGAGTGAGGCCCCTTAAAATCAAAAGAGGAATTGAACTACTAGGCTTTGGACAAAGTAGAGATTGAGCTGAGCTTTAGGAATGACCAGCACTCTGAAACATCACGTGGACTCCATTTCTCTTTTTTGTGTTGGCTGTTGTCTGCATATTTGCATCTTCTTTCATTTCTTTCATCACGGACAGACTTTCTCCCCTTTATTGAAAACACAGCCATTAATACCTTTTGAGATTTACATTTTATAGCTTCTATCATATTTCAGAAATGAATATGAATCTCTCACCTCCAAGTTCAGAAATTCTGAGAAATGAATTCTGCTTCTGAGTAAAATGCCACGGAAAATCAGCATTCCCATAGTAACAAATGGGAAAGATATAAATTTTTAAAATATATGTATTTTAAAAAGTTTGAAGAGCTGTAGGAGTGAGAACAACTAGATGAACTAAAACTCCAGAGAAAGAAAAGCATTTCCTAGGTTAGTTGTTGACTGTTGCCTGTTTTATTTCCTTGAGGCATTTGCTGATTCTGGATCAGACTGAAGAACTCTACTGGTGAAAAGGGAAACAAACAGAACTTTTGTTAAGTTACTGTGAATACTATAATGGTTTAGAATCTAGACGAACCACCGAAATACATGGCTAATTTTTCCCATGACATTTACTTTGTGTTGCAGCAAAATAAGAGACCAGGAGAGTGGTTAGAAAAATTCTAATAGGCAAATATAAATCTCCCATAGTCTGAGAGTGCTTAGAGGAGAATGTCCCTCTAGAGGAAAGGGGCCTACGTTAAACATACAAGTGGTCTTCCCTTTTAGCCACTAGCAAGATTTTGAAGTTCTGTAGGCATTAGACTAAAGGGTGAAGCTCAAATCTCTGAAAGCAGAACAGAATTTTCTGCAAGGCTGAGAGGACAGTGCTCTTCCAGGCGCTCAATCAAAAGCCCAGCATGGCAAGGCACAAAGAACAGGATGTATCACAGATGGACTGAGTCTAACTGCAAATGAGCCTTGACTCAGTTCAATCTCTAACTGGTTCATATAGTCAGCTTTTCATCCATTCTGCCTAACAGAGGAAAGAGTGAATACACTCTGGGGAAAATAATATCTACAACCTCTAAAATCCTTACATA